TAATTTAAAATGTTGGAACAACTGACCATCTTATGCAAAATGGATAATCATATCCAATGAATAATCACACCTTCTGTGTAGGGAAGGATGTCTTTACCAAGAACAAAGATTGGCAAGTTGAATTTCAGAATTTTTTTTTGAGCAAATAAATCCATGGACATTAAGAATAGAAGACTCTTAGATCAGACCAGAAGTAAGACATACTCAAGAAAATATCCCATAGAACTATTTTAATCGAAAATGTTAATATTTTTATGGCAATAGGCATATATAGTAAAGATAGAAATAAAAAAAAGGAAAATTTCCACCAACTGGTTATACTGTGTGTTAGGCAAGATAAGTGAATAACAGAAATGAGTTTCTTTATTTTAATTCATGTTTATTTATTTTGAAAGTTGAAGTAAAGAGTGCAGAATGTTAGTGTCTATTTATTCTGAATGGTAGGTACATACATGTGCAATGTTTTCTGTATGTTTAAAAATATAACTTAAGGCACTCCCTCGTGGCACAGCAGGTTGAAGCACAGCATTCAAATGCTAAAGCCACTTTAGCATGAGTTCAATTCCAGCCTGCCCCGGAGATGATCCACATGGTGTGGCAGACCTCTCCTGACCTGCCTGCTGCTCCCCTCAGCAGTGTACTTCATCAGTCGGCCACTCTATCTCTGGTGAAGCCTTTCACCACCCCTCTGGCTTGTACCCTAGTTCCATATGCATAAATAAACATATATATATATAAATATATATATATATATATATATACACCTTAATTTTTAAAAAGTACATACAACAAAGCAAATATAACCAATAGAATAATTTAAATTAAAAAAATCAGACACTGGAGTATTATAAAATATTTTAAAAAGATAATTGGAAACAAAAATAAAAATTATTTGCACTATAGACAAAATGTGATGATGCTTCACCAGTTTATTTGTTCATTCATTGATCTGATTTATTTTTATACCCATTAGTTATACACAGCATGCCAAAGGACTAAACTTCAATTTCTCTAATGTGTAAGCTGAATAAAATCCTCTCTATTTCTTGCAGATGGTCAACAAGCATATGAAAAAATGTTCAATATCACTTGTAATAAGGGAAATGCAAATTAAAACCACAATGTACATCAGTGAGAATGGCACATCTTAAAACAACTAGCAACAACAAATGTTGGCAAGGATGTGGAGAAAAAGGAACTCTCCTGCACTACTGGTGGGAATGCAAACTAGTACAACCACTATGGAAAAATGTTTGGAGTTTCCTCAAATTGCTAAACATGTAGCTTCCATATGACCCAGCAATACCACTCCTAGGTATCTACCCAAAAGACACAAAAACACTGATTCAAAAAGACACCTGCACCCCCATGTTTATTGCTGCTTTATTTACAATTGGAAAAATATGGAAACAGCCCAAATGCCCAAAAGTGGATGACAGGATTAAAAAGATGTGGTACATATACACAATGGAGCATTACTCAGCAACCAAAAAATATATATATATGTAATAAGCACATGCCTTTTGCAGCAACATGGATGGAGCTGGAAAAGATCATGCTTAGTGAAATAAGCCAGAAAGAAAAGGAAAAATATCAGATGGTTTCATTCATAGAAGGAGTATAATGGACTAGGCAAGAAAATAATAATAATAATGAACAGCTATATACCAGAGACATTTTAGGGGGATAGAGTGGGGAATGGGGTCAAAAACAGTGGGGGGAAGGAAATGCACTGGACTATGGTGAGGGCACATGGGTGATTTGGTGATGGGAAGCCCATGGGGATTACAACTGAGATGAAAAAATGCACAAAATGATGTAAAAATAAACTATTATATTATTTTAAAAATAACTAAAGGAAAAAAAATCCTATTTCTTACCTCCATTACTCTCATTTAAAAATGTAAAGACAAGATATAGATTTCAACATTTTTATTATACATTTCTCAAATTATTAAATACACTAAATACAAAAAAATCCAGGATTACATGATAAAACGAAAGAAGTATCTCTTCACTAGTGCACACACATACACACATTCTTCCACAAAGCTCAAAAGACTACAGTTTATATGGTAACAGTTCTATGAGGAGCTGGTCAAAAGTTTCACCTATTAACAAAAACAGAATTTAAGGTGATTTACCATAGTTTAAAAAAATTCAAGAAAGGGTTAACAAGAAAACAATGACAAATCTGAGCATAAGCATTCAAGTCAATGCATCAATAACTTTAAAACTACATCTATATTAAACACATACACACATTTCTTTCCTTTTGGGATACAATAGATTTTTCAAATTCAAAACATAAGGTGAAGTAGAAACAAACAAACAAACAGACAAAACACTTTAAAATTTGCTGACCCATCCTAAATAGAATCCATTTAAATAGAAAAGTTCTCTCCTAAACACCCTTTTTGTTATTCTAAATAGTCTAGTAGGCACATGTCTCACACAAACAAAATGACCCTAAAAAATGAAGATGCCGGGTTCTCCCTGGTGGCACGATGGTTAAAGCATTGCATTATAAAGCTCTCAGAAGCCACTGCAGCACAAGTTCAGTCCCCAGTCAGTGAACTGACCTACAGGATATGGCAGAACCTTTCCTGACACGCCCGCTGCTCCCCTCAGCAATGTACTTCGTCAATCTGCCTGTTCTGCTCCTCACTCTGTCTCTGGTGAATCCACTCACTCACCACACCTCTGGCCTGTACCCCAGTTCTGTAAGCATAAATAAATATTTTTTTTAAAAGAAGATGATATCAAGTCATTAACAGTCATTACAAGTGTTACTTAGTTTCTGCCCTAGGAAATACTACATCTATGAGAACTTTTCTCAGGTCTACTCATGGTCATTTTGAAGGTACAAGAAGTTACATAGTCAAATATACTCTTCAAAAAGTAAATTATATACAAGTAAAACTATCCATTTCTAAAAGAAGAATTCACCTTAGTCCCTACACTGAGCCTAACATTGAACAGAACACACCAGGTATAGTGCCTCTGTGGTTTTCAAGAAGACCTAATGCATATGGTATTGGAAGACACCATTATCACTCCAACCAGTAAACAGGAATATTAAATTTGTAAAAAGCTATTGAAAGAAAAGGGAAATTCACCAGAAATTAAAGTCAGTTCTGTCTGCATGGGGGTGGGTGGTTGTTGTTTGTTCACTGCACTATCCCTAGCATCTAATCTGAGCTGTCCACTACCATGACCACTAGTCATCATGTAACTATTTAAATAAACATCTAAGTTAAATTCAAGGAAAAGCTGCATGTGTGTGATTTCAAGTGTCTGATAGTCACATGTGAGTAATGATTATAGTGCCGAACAGAGAAAATGCAGACTCGGTTTACGACAGGGGAAGCTCAGCCAGGAGTCAAATAAATGAACTTTCTCTAAGACTGACACTGGTTTCATAGCATCTTACATGCCTGAAATGGCTTCCAAAAACTCCCAACTACTGTTCCCATAAAAACCTCAAAAAGTTATAGCTCTACAAGTTAGGAAATGGGTCATGCAAAAAGAATGCCAATTTCACAGTCCTTAAATCCCAAATCATTACTGAGCAGGGAGTATTATATTGCAGTAACCACCATGCTGAGCTAGCAGGTAGGAGCAGGGAGTATTATATTGCAGTAACCACCATGTTCTTGTAGGTTTCCTAAGTAATCCAGGGATTCTTATCAAAAGAAAATAAACAGACACATAAATACAAATAGCCTACTCTTAGGTAGCACTTATCTGTCACAAGGCTTTGCTGTTATTTTCTTGTAGCAGTTTATGTGTGGACTTTAGTGCTTTCCTGGCACATGCAAACCTCGTGTGCAAGCATAATTGGGTTGGATGTCTGCAGTGTAGCTGGGATCCTAGGCCCAATATGTTACATAACTTGGTTTTTTCTGTTATTCCTGTTTGGGATTTGTGTGTGTGTGTGTGTGTGTGTCTAAAGCTTACCATTTTAATAGTTAAGTAATATCATTTGTTATACTTTTTTTTCCATTTTATTTAGAAATGCCCCTATTTTATATCTTGTTCCGTATTATTTAAATATATTCCTACTGGTGAACATGTCTTCTCCACTGAGCTGCTATAAACATCCCTATGTGTATGTCTCTTTATGTACTTTGGAGTACTCCTGACAAGTTTTCTCAGAGTGGAACTTTAGTGAAAGGCTATTCATGTTAATGTTCATAATCACTGCCATATGCTCTCCCAGATGGCTCAAGTAGTTGGGAATGTTTGAAAGTATAACCATAGTTTAGCTTGTAATGGAGTTTATCAATTTGTAAAAAGCTTTTGTGCCAATTTAATGAAGGTAAAATTATAGCTTGCTGGGTTATTATTTTCATGTTTCTTGTTATTCATGACGTTGAGCAGCTTTTTATGTTTATTGGTTTGTAGTGTCCTGTGACTCACCATTTCATATTATGGGGTCATCTTTACATTAGAAATTTCACATTTTCATATCAGATTTATAGTGATTCTTTCATAAAAATATTTATTTAGGCCCTCCCTGGTGGTGCAGCGGGTTAAAGCACAGCACTAAGAAGCTTAAGCCACTTCCGCATGAGTTCGATTCCCGCCTGCCCCGGAGGAGGGCCACATGGCGCGGCAGATCTCTCCTGGCCCGCTCGCTGCTCCCCTCAGCAGTGTACTTCGCCCATCTGCCTGTTCTGCTCCCCACTCTGTCCCTGGTGAATCCTCTCACCCTCCACATCTCTGGCCTGTACCCCAGTTCTGTATGAATAAATAAGTAAATCTAAATATATATATATATATATATATATATATTTATTTATTTATTTATTTATTTACGCACAGAAAAACTGGATGTAGACTAGAGATGTAGGCATGAGAGGATTCATCAGAGACAGAGTAGGGACCAGAAAGGGCAGACATATGGAAATATACTGCTAAGGGGAGCAGTCGGTGAGACAGGAGAGGTCTGCTGTGCCATGTGCATTAGCTCCCTTGCCAGGGATCAAACTCAGGCCACCATAGTGATAGCATAATAGCACTGAGATTTGACCCCTATGCCACTGAGGAGGCCCTGTAGGAATCCTGTATACCTTCTGAATATCTCATATTTTCCCTTTTCCTGGGTGAGTTACCATTGCCCAGTTTTTTTAGTCTAGATGTTTAAATTTTAAATTTTATAAAGTGTCATTGTGCCCTTACTGACACTAGCTTCATATCCTGCTTAGAAAGGACCAGCAGTGTTTTCTTCCCATACTTGTGTTTGTCCTTTACAGTTACCTCTTTAATTCCATTGACAATTATATCTTTTCTGATGAAAGAGATGAATTTTATTTCTTCCTGAAGTGATAACAGATTTTCCCAGTGCATTATCTTGACTTTCCCAGAGCAGTGAGTCCTCCCCCACCATCTGCCATAGACCTAGGAAACTGCATCTTTTTAAAAAACGGCCTATAATGAGAGCTGGTCACCTGTTGTTTTCTTATCAATGTACACAGATTGGACACTGAACAAAATGGTGTTACTCGAGGAACTGCATTATGGTGAAATTCCTCCACACTGGGCATTACATTTCTGCACAGAGTGGACACTATGTGCCCGATGGGATCACCGATGACGTCAGTACTGTACCCACGACCATGGGACCCAGGGCTATGCTTATGGCAATTGCTCCCCGACCGCTTTCCTTCCAAACCGCCAACACCATATTTGTCTCGGCCTTCCTTCAGGCTGCCAGAACCCATGTTTCCTGTTCTTGTGGAGAATTGGAAGAGTCTGAGGAGGGAGGTTTTCACAGGTGGCCCTTCAGTAGGCTGAGTGACTTTCCCATAAGTCATGAGATTGGAGAATTGTCAAGACTCTTTCTGGCAGAAGGTGGAGGCCCATGAGGCTGGGCAGCAACGAATCAGAGGGAGTGGAGCAGCAGGCGAGGGTTGGAGGAGGGAACCAGTGTGAGAGGCCATGAGATATGCTGAGGACTGTGTATGTGGCATATTCACAGAAAGTTTTAAAATAATGAAAGATAGTCCCTGACTTCCATTTTCCAGAATCGCTCTCACTGCATTGTTGAAGCTTAACTGTCTGGGTAAATGTTAGCAGCAGTGTGTTAGCCAGTGTCAGACCAGAAAACATAAACCACTTGACTGCTGAGACAACACAGACTTTGCTGCTGTGTGTCATGTCTGGTCTGCCTCAAGTGTTTTAGGACCCTTTAATGGTAACTCCAGTTCCATTCAGGAGCACCCACCAGCACCTATGTCAGCTTACCATGCCTTCCTTCCTTCCTGACTTGGGGCCAATGCACAGATTTGTCTAGAAGCACTTATTCATAAACAGCCAGGGCATACTAGAGAGTGACATCATGTGGGACCACCCACTCTTGTCCTCTAACACTCAGACATACACGCACTCACTTTTTGTTTCTCATTGCCTATGTGTCTACTCCTTTTCCCTAAGACCTCATCCCAAAATTTAAAATTGCCTTTCTGGATGGCATTCTTGTCTGAGGCTCTGCTCTCTGGGGGCTGCGAGAGGGAGGAATCATTATGTGAAGTGATGGTCTTGAGTTTTAAGAGCTGCAAAACAGACAAGCAAATATAAACCAGGAATACCTTGTCCTATATGTTGATCTCAGGGCTTGTGAACCTGGGATGTGGAAAGAACTGAGTTACAGAGACTGGAGTAGGGACTGAGTTCAAGGCCTCATTATCAATCTTTATTCTCCCAGGGTCTTTACACCATTTTCTCAGCATTAGACAATACAGAAAGCATTCGAAACATGACATAAATTTAACATGTCATCATAAACCTTATTTTGACCTTTTGCTAACCAACTCTGAAAACTGTATGTGGCATTAGATGATGCAGGCACATGACTAAGGTAAAGTTATACATGAACCTCTTAAAGCATTCATTATAGAAATAAGGATCAGACTTATACTGTGTGGAGTATTTTCGAGGAATATTAACCACCTCTGCCTATGCTAGGAAGGCTGTTCCTTGTGTCCAGATGATGAATCTATGGAGAGCCAAAACAGTTGCTCACCCCAGGTCTGACTGATGGTCATATGACCTTGGAGCCCCACTCCGGTCACAGTAACCTCGCCATATTCCAGAGGTACCCCTGGCTGTGACTCTATTGTTTCTCCACAGCCTTTTCTTAAATTCATCCCTTTCCAGTTTTCTTAAATTGATCAACTTTAGTGTTAGTGCTTACGGTTATTTCCCACAAGCTCGACTAACACAAGGAAAGAAACTCAATTTCGTCACAACTATCATGAGTATAATCACCAGGTGAGGAAACCTTCTCTTTGTCTGCCCAAAAGAATAATAAATAACTTGACTGCAACTTTTGTTCCTTCTTTTAAGTTACACTGTGTTTGCTTCTGAAATCTGAATTCCTCAGGAATTGCAGGACTTGGTTTTGTTTTCAACAGTGTTTAAAGCGAGGAATTTTAAGAGGTAATGAAAGAAACCAAAAGAGCTAACGAGAGGACAAGCACCTAGAGTTCAGAATAGCAGGAAATGGGCGGTACACAAGTGAGGTCCAGAGCACAGAGCTGGAACCTGGGAGCTGCGCTGGTATCTCTAAGGGTCGTGGGCCAGAACTACAGGCAATTTCTGAGCAACCCTGAGCCATCTTGCTTCCTGCATCCACCCCCTATCCCACCCTCTTTTCTTACTGTGTTCCATAGTCTGAGGGGCTGCACATAGTTTACTCCTGCTCCACTGGCCAGGAGGGCCTCCCCTCCTCTGGGCAGGTGGACACAGTTTTAGTCCCTCCCTCAATGCCCTCCACACCCCACTCATATCCTCAATCCTTGACATCAGGAAGAGAAGGGGCAATGGGCAAGGGTCATCTATTCTCCCAACATTCGGGAAGACTTCTCCCATTTCTGGGTTCGAGTCCAGCCCCCTCCAACCATTCCTCACACTGTTGAAGCTCAAAAAGAACTTCCACCTCACACACCCTCCCTGAAACAGCATTGATTCAAGAAGAGAGGAAGCAGGAAATGATGCCCAGTCAACATCTAGATCCTAAGAAACATGGCAAATTCTACTGCCATACAGTGACCTACAAGAGGTGAAGGATTTTGATGCAAGCTCCACATTTGTGGGAGAATCTTGGAAGAGCACACCTCTGGTGCAGTCCAGCAGGAGCCACTCAGTGCAGGAGTCTGTGGGGAGCACTTCCGTGGCATGGCCTTATTAAGGCTCACTCTCCGGTTCCACCTTCCCTGGGGACTCTCTTATATCTGGAACAGTCGATAGCGTAGGTTTTCAGAAACTACTATTGAACCTGGAAGACTGTGTTTTCAGATTGGCGTCACCTGATTGGGTGCTGTCTGACTTACTGGAGCCTAAGTTGACTTCGCAGGGAGGGGCTTCCTTTGACTCCGTTAACTTCAATTCTTGTGTAGTCCTCAAATATATGGTCCCCAAGTTTCTTTTCAGTGTTGTTATCTTCGGAGATGGGCATGGTGTGATCGGACCCCCAGTCTCCTGATTCAGTCCATTTGTGACTATTTCTGTACAAAATATAGTCTGACTCTGCCAAGTTCTTCTCACAGACCAAGAGAGACTGCCTTCCTGTCTAGTTAGAAGAACATGTGGGGTCCCTTCCGGGGACTTTTGGGTTTCTTCATTGGTGCTGGAAACTGACATTTTAGATGTCACCTGTTCTTCCCTAGAGGCTTGAGGAACATAACTAAAGAACTTTGCAGAATTGGCTTTTGAATCGGCCCCAGATTCACAGGTGACTAAACAGGGGGTGACAGGCCTTGGAAGGGACAGTGGTTGTGCCTCAACCTTACTGCTTATGGGCTCAAAGGTCTGGAAGAAAAAGCCCCAATTCCTGTTTCCCTAAACTTGGTCATATGTGCTTCCAGCTCCAGTTGAGCACATGCACCTAGGAAAGGGAGCTCATGGGAGGTGTTTGTGCAGCTTGCCTGGTGCTTGAAGAGTTCTGGCTTCATGGATTCCTTCTGGGCGCTGAGTTGGGATGAAGCAAGGTTGGCGGCAAGCCAGGATTTGTGCACTCTCACAGGGATCATCCCCTCACTGATCTGCCTTACCTTCTTGGCCAGATGGACTTCCAGGATTTTTTCTAATTGTTTCCTCTCTGGATGCATGGATAAGAAACTTCCTGAGTCACTCAACATGGGTTTAACTGAGTGTTTCTGCATCTCCTGAGAGCTCTTTTGCCAAACCTTCACTGGGGAAATAGCTGAGACTTTGCTTTGGTCTTTGGGGATCCCCCTCAGACACTGCCCTAGACCCCTGTTGAAATAATTTCCTTGCAGGATGCTGAGGTCATTCATCCTGTCAGACCTCCTAGAGCAACTGCACCTCTTCTCCAGAGCGCCCCATCTACCTTGCTGTGACATCACACATGGCAGTGAGGCCCACTGTGTGCCTGGGGTGTGACTCACCCCTGGGGTTTCTCCCTGAAGCTGCATTGATTCCATAGCCTGGATTCTGCAGGACAATCCATCCCGATGTTCACCTCTGAGCTTCCATCTCTGGAGATTTGGTGCCTGGAGAATCCCCTTGACATGGTCCCTGTGAAGGACAGACACTGAGATGTGAGCCTGGAAGGTGTAGCTGTCCACAAAAGGCTTGGAAGTGTCTTGACTAAACACTTGGTTATAGTTTAGGACCACAGGGGATAAAGACATCCTTCCTGGTTGCTTTTCATACATGGGCCATACAAGAGATTGGATTATAGTTTGCTGGTCTGTAGGGCTACACACCCCACAATCACTAGTCTGCAGTAGAGAAAATGGTGGCTGGTTTTGGAGATTGGGTGTGTAATAGGCCTGGGCCTGAATCAGAACCATAGAGTCTGGGACTCGAGCACCATTCCAGCCAAAGCTTGTAACTGGACCCTGAGGTGAGGCCTGAATGTGGCCTGGAAAAGACTCGAAGACTTGATGGATTGATTCAGGAGTAGGAAGCAAGTAGAACTTCCACTGAATAAGGCAGAGGAAGCCTGTGGTTGAGCTGTGGCCACAGTGACCACAGCAGTAGCCACCAGGGGCTCCCTGAGCAGAGGGAAGACCCCAACATTGACTGCATTTCTGGTATAAACAGCCCCCCCAAGAACTTGGGATAAGAGAGCTGATGAAGGCCAGACAGTTGCTCCACTTTGCCTTTCTTGTTCTGGAGGAGTGGGCAGAATGGAATGCCCTCCGAAAGATTTGGGTGGTAGGCTGAGCTTGTCCGTTTTTGGAAATAGCCCACAGCTTTCTTTCCCTCTCTGCATGTTGTGACCTATTCTTCTGGTTGCTGGTTAAAATCTCCAGCAGCTTCTGAACATGAAGGTGGACAAATGAGGGACTCCCTGTCTCTACCTGCCTGCCTGTGGGGCCTCCCTACAAGGAGGTCCCTGATGGGCACTGGGGCAGGAGCTGAGGCTGGGACGCACACTGTGAGGAGGCCGGGAGGAACAAGGCCTTGGTAGTCGCCCACCGCCAGGCGTAGGACCTAGTGGGATAGTTGGTGAGGCCCAGCCCTGCCATGGCTGGGGCTGGCGATGCCAAACAGGAGCTGCCTGTGTTACCTGGAGGCAAGCTCTTTGGCACGGTGTTCAGCTGGATTCTAATCAAAGTGGATCCTTGAATATTTGCTGACCTGGTGGTGGTCACAGCAGCATCAGGTTCTTTCATGCATGATGCATGGACTCCGACAGGTGTTGCTCTTGATGAAATCTGTCCTTGTCAGGATGCTTCTCCAGGTGACTGAAGGACATAGGAGGCAGAAGTTGCAGGTGAGAGAGGAAAGGCCCATTGGACTGGCCCAGTCAGAGAACCTGAGCCCCCCGGAGCCTCATGACTGACTCATAATGCTCTTGCTGTCCTCACCCTTGACCTACTCTCCAGCTGCCTGAGGGCTTTAGCTGCACCCCAGTCCAGAGCTCCCCTCCAGGTCAACACTAGGTTGCCTGTGGTCCTGGGGTCATACCGCAGGCTCTGAAAGGATAAATAATGGAAGAATTTTTACCTCTGCAGAAGTAAAATCCAGTCTTTATCTTTCTCCAGTTCTTTCTGGGATTCTCTGTGAGCTGTAAATCAAGAGACTCAGTCACATGGTGTGGGAGGGGCCAGGGGCCTACAGGAGCCTGAGGACCAGGTGCTCCAGGAGACCTGTGGCTGATGGGACTCTGGAGTCCAAGGTGTTACCCTCATCCAGACAACTCCTGTTCTATATAAAAATATTAAAAATCATTGACTTGGTGTATAAAATAATACTAATGTCTCCCTTTATAGGTCTTCCTTGCAGGATAAAATTAAGATTACTAGCCTTTCTTAGATGCCCGCTGCCTCTCCTGCTAAAGTTGCTGATTCTTTTCTCTCTACTCTTCAACATTATACCTCTACAGCTGCTTAGCTCTCCCCTCCCTCTTTGATTAATTTTGGCATTTCTCTGCTAATCATTCTCTCTCTCCTGTTTATATTTCCAGTCCTTGTCCTCGCCCTCTTCAAGGCTCTCAAAAAGACCCACAGCAAATGAAAGACAATTCAGCTTCAATTAAAAAACAAAAAAGGGGGGGATGACACAAGCTATGCAATTTCTATCAACTGACATATTCTGGATAGAGACGGAAGTGCTCTGAAATATCAGAATTTCCATGCTAACTTATGTTATGACCTCCCTTTTTTGTAATATCAAAGTATTCTAAGCAACCATCAGATTGCCTTACTGATTGCCTTAGTCTCATAAGCCAACTGATTGCCTTAGTCTCATAAGACGCTGCCTGGCTCAAGTGAGCAAGCAAGACAGGAAAGCACTGCCAAGATAGGAAATTCCTCTACACAGCAAAAACTAATATTACAACTGACTGATTAATAAAAGCAATTATAACAAAATTAATACTGTAAGACAAGGCAGTACTAGAACATGCTAAAAAATAATTAAAGTTCTTTTAATGCCCGCACCAGAACCAAAATCTTATCACTCTACTCTCATACTTAAGCTTTTATTGCTCAGTTTTTAAATGAGGACTCTTAACTATCTCCCTTAGTGATTTATCTACCAGAAAACTCCTCCAGTCTAGTCTTCGACTTGACTTTACCCTCTTGCACAACTTCTCCTTGGCCCTCGATCTCATCTTATCCCCCTTCACATCTCCAGCCTAATCTCCACCCTAGCCCGTGACTTGGCTTTTACTCTCTAAGATGTCTCAATAAGAATGAAGATCATTAAGTAACATCAAAGGTTTAAAGGGACTTTATTTTAGTCAATCAACACTGTAGTAAATATAACAATGTTAGCCTTAAAATTTTACGAATTTATGTACCTATCCTAACTTTAATAGATTGATTTTAAGAATAATAAATGTTATAATCATAGCTGAAGGATAATACGACCCTAAACTGTTCTTAGAAAAAAAGATGATTGTAATCTCTCAGCCCAGTTCATGTGTTGATGTCATCCCACTGCTTGCTCCTAATGTATAAAATAAACTTCTGCTAAAGGCAAAACAGGAAGACTTGCACCCAACTCCGATTCCCGTGTCTTCCTTGCTCCCTTTTCCCCTTTTTCTCCTTTTCCCCTTTTTAGGAATCTCCGCTTGCCAACGCCGCTCCCACCTTGAGACCCTGCCTGTTCTGCCCCCAATAATCCGTCATCGGGGAACAAAGGGTCTCTGACACCAAGGCCTGCACGTAATGGCAAGACTCAAGATGGTGGCCCCTGTCATTTACAAAGTAAATTTGGATCCTGAGGCCCAGTCCCTGCTCTGTGAGAGAGGATGGGCAGGGCTCCCAGAGGGATCTGACAGGCTAAGCAACTTGACTCCTGCTGGATGTGGAGGACCCGCCTCCCAGGCCAGGCCCTGTAGTCCACTCCCTCCATATGTCTCTGCAGACAACACACAATTCCAGGCCTGTCCTGGCCTCCTCTGAGCCTGGGATCTGGGAGGTGTCAGGGTTCTTTCTCTTTCCCAGGAGTCTGTTTTTCTGAGGGATGAGCCCTGACCACTTGGATCTGGGAGCTGGGACTCAGTCAGGGACAGGAGAGGGGGTAAATCTGGCCAGGCTCACCTACAGATTCTCACCTTTCCAAGCTCCATGTTTCTTTCTGCTCATCTTCCTCTCCTTCCACTGCATTTGTTGCTGAAAGATGAGGAAACACAATAAGGAACTGGCACCCATGGCTCCCTGGGGGAGTCCAGACCAGGTGCAGACACAGTGCTCACGCACACAACTTTCTGCCTCTAAACCAATGGGAAGTTGGCTTCATTTCCTTCTACTCATTTCCAAAATGGATTAACATATTTTCTGCCTTCCTTCCTTGAAGATCACAAGAAAGGGTCTCTGAGAACCAGCATGGATCTCTTCCCTCACTCTTCAAGAAACACAAACCCTCAGCCCTCCAGGCGCTAAGCCCAGTCAGGTCAGATAGGACCTGCTTCCTGAGCCCTGCTCAGAGGCTCCCAGGGTCTCTGCACTGCCCCCCTCAGCCTCAGCAGAGGAGCACCTGGTTGGCCAGCCTTGACTCCAGTATTCTGAAATTCTATTTTTTTTAAAGATTTATTTATTTATGCTTACAGAACTAGGGTACATCCCAGAGGTGTGGTGGCTAAGAGGATTCACCAGAGACAGTGTAGGGAGCAGAACAGGCAGATCGACAAAGTACACTGCTGAGGGGAGCAGTGGGCAGGTCAGGAAAAGTCTGCCATGCCATGTGGGTCACCTCCCTGATGGGGGATCAAACTCATGCTGCAGTGGCTTTGGAGAGCTTTATAATGCAGTGCTTTAACCCATTGCACCACCCCAAGATTCTATTCTTTTGAGAGAATTGATCTGTTCTGTCCCTCCCAGAATCTTGCATTGAGCCAGAGAAGTGGAAATAAGAGAGAATCTTGCTGTATTCAGAATGGCTCAGGAGTTTCTTACCTTCCTGATGTTTCTGTCTTTCCTGGCCGGTGGTGAGGATGGAGCACTCTGAAGGAAGGGAAGGAGCATCATGGAGATGATATTGAACTCCCAAGAAATAGAGTTGGAACTCTGCCAACTAATAATAACGCTTTTCAGAGAAAAGAGAAAACTCTCCATGATCTGAATAGCACTGCTGCTCTTGAGCAACTGAGCACTGGAGGAAATTTAGGGACTTAAATCCCAGCTCTGCATCACAGAAAGGTAACTTTGTCTAAAGACTGCTGACTGCAAGGGAGGGGCCAGAGAAGGAGCAGGCAGGACCAAGGCCCCACCTCCAAGGCCCAACCCTCCATCCACCTTCGTGGGCCTCCCAGGCCTTAATTTTTTCTTCATTCAATCTAGAATAGAGATATTTCCTTGTTCCTGGTATCTCTTGGAGACCTTGGCTTAAACCCATCAATTTCAGTCTTTGAAAGTCTTATGTTCTCAGGGCCTCCCTGGTGGCAAAGCGGTTAAGTCTCAGCATTATCACCATTAGGGCATGCCAAGACTTGAGTTTGATCCCTGGCCTGGGAGGTAACCTACACGGTACAGGAGATCTCTCCTATCTTGCACCCTGTTCCCTTCAGTAGCATATTGCAGTATATCTCCTTTCCTGTGCCTCTCTGGTTAGTCCTCTCACACACACATGCTGTAGGCCTACACCCTAGTTCTTATATGCATAAACAAGTAAAAATAAATCTTAAAATGAATTAAATTCTCATAAGAATTTTGGCTATTTCTAGTTAATTTATATTTTCAGAATTTCAGTCTTCTGCTCATTTTTCATACCATATTTTTTCATGAGACTATTAAAAGTTCTACTCAACAAATTTAACGCATACCATATAATATCGTTTTAATTCATGGGGACCAGATATGATCTCAATGAAGCCAACCCCTTTCTTTTGATAATAAGGTAATGTCTGCTGCAGCAATAAGCTCTAAGAATAAAATAACCCACAAAAGAAATCCAGAGTCACTCAGACTTAGAAGCAATTCCGTCTCCTTGCCTTGTTAAAATCATCTGATTGGCATCTGACCATCACAAAGGTAATCTGTGAAGCTACTGATATTTTCCTATTGAAAATAAAAATACTTAAATTGACTGTTATTTTACATATCTTCTTTGAAGTCACACTGTGTTTTCCTCTGAAATCTGAGCTCTGCAGCAATTGCAGGATTTTGTTTTCAACAACAGGCTTTTGAGATGGTTGCTTTCCCTTGGTAATATGCATTGAGGATTCCGTCAGTCTTTTCATGGCTGGTTCCTGCATATCTTTTTGTGCTGAATAACATAGCACAGTCTGGGGGTTGTTGTATCTACCACCAACTGGATTGCTGCCATGTTTGGGCAGTTGTGAGCTAAACCTCTAAAGTCATAGTTTTTGAGGAACTATCAAGCGGCACAACTGCTACTCTGGATGATGACAATGTGTTTAGTTCATACACATACATATAAGCCTATGCACACACACACACATATATGTGGGTTTAGTCTATACACACATATGTATATCTGTGTGTATTTACGCATATACATATATTCACATATAGTCTGCAGGCACATTCCAGTAGAGAAGATGTCAGCATGACAAGGGGCTGAGAGGTAGAAGCCCAGAGAGAGGCCAGAAAGCGCAGGAGTGTTCAGTGTATACAAAGACAGGAGTCCATGTACAAACATGGCTGCTGTTATTAGTTGGAACAAACTGTTACCTGCTAGATCAGCTCAGTGAGCCTTAGCTTCCACCTTCAACTACTCATCTTCTGACAAATTCAAATGGTTTCTTTCTTTTTTTTTTTTTACAGATTTATGTATTTATGCAGACAGAACTGGGGTACAGGCCAGAGGCGCAGGGAGCGTGAGAGGATTCACCAGAGAGAGAGTGGGGAGCAGAACAGGCAGATTGATGAAGTACACTGCTGAGGAGAACAGCAGGCGGGTCGGGAGACATCTGCCACTCCATGTGGATCACCTCGGGGCGAGGATCGAACTCATGCTGCAGTGACTTTAGCTTCTTAGTGCTGTGCTTTAACCCGCTGCGCCACCAGGGTAGTTCAGGGTAGTGCACCACCTCGATTGCTTTCTTGATGAAGACATGAGTTTCTGACCTGTCTCATGATCCTTCTCCATGAAGAATTTCTTTTAAAATTTCTTGGGAGGCAGATGTACTCTCAACATTTTAGTTTGAAAAGACCTTTTATTTCTCCTTTAATGTTGAAGGAGAATTGCTCAGAGTACAGAGTTCTGGTTTGGTGTTAGTCTTCTTTCACTACTTGAACTATCTCATGATTTTCTCTTCTGCTGCTGGGCAGATTTGTTGACCTCAAGAAGTGAAGCTCTGGTTAAGTAGCTTCCCCTGCGTGTAGGCAGTGATAAGGAGAACGGAGTGTCCTAGTGTTTCAAAGTTAATTCTTTCCCTCTTCACCTGCCAGAAGCCACCTCCAGTCTTTACTGTGAAGTCCTGTGGGGATCATGGGAATGAAATTCTCAAAAAAAAGAGTGCCCAGAGACTCTGACTCCCTGTAGCTTTGACCTTCACACTAATCACGGTGCATGTCCAGCAATTCATGACTGATGGCTTTCACCCCAGCCCTGCTTGTGAGTTTCTGTTCTAGTGAGCTGTGATTCTCTCCAGTTTGGGACAGTGGTTTGTCCTGCAAACTCCCATACCAGATAGACCCAAGGAGAGTTGCTGACTTGGTCATTTGTTCTGCCTGCCATTATGGTGGAGCAGTGACTTCTAAGCTATGGACAGGCAGGGTCAGAAACAAGAATTCTGGTTATGTGTCTATTGTTTAAATAATATCTGAGTGCATTTGTTTTGTAAAATACTCAAGGAATAGTTGTGCAGACTGAGAGAAAATATAAAAGTCTTCTTTTTCCCACTTCCCTGTTTACAATTTCCTTCCCTCTAGATGGGAACATATAAAACTTGATGTATATCTAGGTCTTCTTCAAAATATTTACCTGCACCTTTACGAATACATCCACACAATCTCATAAAATTTCCATTTATGTTAACATTTCTTTAGTTTTTCACTCTTTCAAAAATCTGTGACAGGGACAGTGAGGAAGCTAAAAGGGAAGAATACCAGCCCCGGTGCTCATGAGATCCTGAAGGCTGGAGACAGATATCATTTCTTGAATTGCTCTGACAAGCCTAAGATCTTCGCGAAGGCATCGGAGTGCTGGGTGCTCATGTAGCTGGTACATGCACTATGAGCTGAGCTGGGGTGTCTGAGCTGGAACTCCTGGTGCTGGGAAGGTGGGAGGGCTTATGTGGGTTTGGAGCTGAGCCTTGGGCAGGGCTTGCTGGCTTCTGCCCATCCCCCTGCAACCTTCTCTGAGAGGGCTAGTGGCGCCCTTTTCAATGGTCCCAGTGATCACCTGTAGTGGGGAAGGGTAGGAGCCAGAGCTGGGGTGGCATCTGGAGCTCTGTGGGGCACAGCCTTCCATGGTACTGTCCGGGAGCAGGAAAGAACACTGGGAGGAGCCATCTTAGAGAGACTGATCCACAGAAACTGCAGTTGGAGCTAAAGTTGTAAAACAGTGGTGGCTTTAAAGAGGTGAACATTTCAGGCCAGGGGCTTTTTAGGGAGCTTTGGTCCATGGACCTGTGTGGGAGGTAATAGAGGAAAGAATTATACTAAGTTATAGTTTGTAATAATTTAGGATTTAAGGACTATGAAAATAACAATCCATTGTCTAACTTGTAGAGGTACAACCATTAGACAATTTTATAGGAACAGTAGTTAGGAGTTTTTGAAAATACGCCATTTCAGGTATGTAAGATGCTATGAAACCAGAGTCAGTCTTAGAGAATGTTCCTTCATTTGACTCCTGGCTGAGCTTCCCTGGCCTAATCTAAGTGTCTGCATTTCCTCTATTTAGTACTGTAGCCACTACTTATATGTGACTATCAGGCACTTGAAATGACACAAGAGCAGTGTTTCCTTTAATTCAATGTTTATTTAGATGTTTATTTAAATAGTCATCATGTGATGAATGTTGTTCATGGTAGTAGACAGCATAGATTAGAAGCTAGTGACATGTAGTAACAAACAGCAAACTCCCTGTGTAGATAGAGCTGACTTTCACTTCAAGTAAGAATTTTTGTTTTCTTTCAATGGATTTTTACAGATTTAAAATTGCTGTTTACTGGCTGGGTTGATAATGGTGTTTACCAATGCCTGA